AATAATAGCACAAACCATGGATAGAGTTAACAGGGACTCAGTTCTAAGTGTAAAGTCAGACATATCAACGGATGAGTTGAGAGTAGAATTTGAAGAGAATTTACGAGCAAAACATTTTACTTCATTAGCAAAAGATATTAATACTTCAAATTGAGAGGAGAGATAGAAGACTTAAAATTATTTAACACACTATTAGAGAGTCGCCAGTAGTCACGTGAAAGAAACCTGTTAGATGCTATACAGTGCCTAATTCTTTCAAGAAACAAAGACATAGCCTCTTTGAGGACACATCTACAATTATAATGAGCTGGTACACAGAGCCGTCTGATGTGTTCGGAAGTTTCACGCTGGTACAGCCGGGAAAAAAGATTTCTCATGGGGATATTGGCTGAACAGATTCGTATGAATCAAAGAGAAGATTGTGATTCCATCTGGTACTTCTGAGACTGTACAAAACTATCGATGCTGGAAGAAGCTTCCGAGACACACAGTGGGAAGGTTAAGAACATCAATCCACAGGGCGTCTCGAAGAAAGCCATAAAAAGAATCCCAATCAGTACGCTGATAACAGAAATAACTTTTGGGATTGAGAGGTTTCTTTTTTGATAGACGACACACAAGAAATATCAACACATATTACAGTGCCTAATTCTATCAACAAACAAAGACTTAGCGTCTTTGAGGACACGTTTACAATTATTATGAGCTGATACAAAGAGGCGACTGTTGTGTTCGGAATTATCTCGCTGGTACAACTGGGAAAAAAAGATTTCTCATGCCGATATCGGCTGAACAGACCGATATGAACCAAGGGAAAGATCTGGCAATTCTGAGACGGTACAAAAGTATCGGTGCTGGAAAAAGACTCTTTGACACAGAACTCAATAGGAAGATAAAAACATCAATTCAAAGAGAGTCTCAAAGAAATTCATGAAAAGAAACCCAATCAGTACGCAGGTAACAGAAACAAATCTTGGGAATGGGAGGCTCCTTTCTAATACACGACTCAAAAGAAATATATACACATAATACAGCGTAATCCGAATTGTAAAGAAGACAAAGTTGTGATGCTCGACAAGAGTTAGAAGAGGAGGTCAGGAACAAATCAAGTAAAGAAGACTATTGAAAATATTTATAAGAAAAACGAGTAGAGAAATCCACTCTTTCACAGAGAGACTGAGCAACAGAAAAATATGTGAAGTCGTAAAGCCGATAGCATATATAATATTAGATAGATAGATAGATAGATAGATAGATAGATAGATAGATAGAAAAAATGGACTGAGAAAGAAAGAAAGAAAGAAAGAAAGAAAGAAAGAAAGAAAGAAAGAAAGAAAGACTCACATAGATAGATAGATAGATAGATAGATAGATAGATAGATAGATAGAAAAACAGACTGGGAAAGAAAGAAAGAAAGAAAGAAAGAAAGAAAGAATGACTGAGATAGATAGATAGATAGATAGATAGATAGATAGATAGATAGAAAAAATGGACTGAGAAAGAAAGAAAGAAAGAAAGAAAGAAAGAAATAAAAGAAAGAAAGAAAGAAAGAAAGAAAGATATCACATAGATAGATAGATAGATAGATAGATAGATAGATAGATAGATAGATAGATAGATAGATAAAAAACAGAATGGAAAAGAAAGAAAGAAAGAAAGAAAGAAAGAAAGAAAGAAAGAAAGAATGACTGAGATAGATAGATAGATAGATAGATAGATAGATAGATAGATAGATAGATAGAAAAAACAGGCTGAGAAAGAAAGAAAGAAAGAAAGAAAGAAAGACTGAGATAGATAGATAGATACAATAGATAGATGAAAATAAAATAGATAGATAGATAGATAGAAAAAAAACAGGTTTGAGAAAGAAAGAAAGAAAGAAAGAAAGACTGAGATAGATAGATAGATAGATAGATAGATAGATAGATAGATAGATAGATAGATAGAAAAATAAACAGGCTAAGAAAGAAAGAAAGAAAGAAAGAAAGAAAGAAAGACTGGGAATGAAAGAAACAATCAGAAATGGGATAATTAGATGAAAGCTAGATTGGAAATTTATAATATATATATATATATATATATATATATATATATATATATATATATATATATATATATATATATATATACAGAGAAAGAAAATTTCAAGAGAGAGATATAATGAATCAAAAAAAAAAATACATGTGTTACTTCCAATTTAAAGAATATCAAATAACCCCATGACGTCATTTCCTACCAATATTTCGCAAAGGCGAAAGACTTCTAAAAGATGACGATCACAGTCCGTCACATATTCTATTGAATAAAAATAAAAGCCTTTATCTCAGAATTTCAACAACAAAAAAAAAAAATGTCGGAAAGAAGACTCAGTTTTGACAATATTGGGTAGATCCTTTATTAATCTATCAATGTTTGATAAATGAAACAACATCCAGCCGATCGCTTGTCACAATGAACATCGTTCATTAGCGAACAGCATAAGAGCGTTGATGTGTGTGTGTGTGTGTGTGTGTTTGTGTGTGTGTGTGTGTGTGTGTCAGAGGTGTGTGTGGTTCTGTTCAATTAACTACAACTCCTGACTGCTGCCTCGTTTTGACTCTAATTAGTACAACTGATGAGTCTTTGATGACGAACAGTAAAAATTTATGGGCGCAAAGATCAATAAAAAGCATAAGGTTAGATTCTCTAAGATCTCTCATATCTCTCTCTACTTTATTATATAAGATTTATCTCTAAAATGATTCTAAATACTAATTGTGTGTCAATGTGAAAAAAATTGTGTGTTGTTTGTAAAAAAATCGGTCGAACAAAATCTCTTATCATTTGAACGTATTTTAAGTTGTGGGTCAATATTAGTTTTTCAAGATTTAAAAGATATTTAAAGCGGGGCAGATTACAAACAGGGGGTGAGGGTTGGGGTATGTTGATGTGCCGTATCCAGGTCTATCCAGTGTTTTTTAAAAGTGCTTCTATTATATAAACATAGATATATATCTATATTAGTTAGATATATCTATATATCTATGATAAAACATACATAACAGGCACACACACATACACACTTCTTTATATATATATTATAAATTAATTGATTTAAAATTAATATTTTTTCAGTTTACACAGTTCTAACCATGTTAAAAAAATGGAAGCTAAAAGTCAATGAATTTAATTTTGTAATTAAATTAAAAGACATTAGTTCCATTTCATCCTCAAGCGAATTTTGAGTAACTTTTAAAATTACTGGGTTTTAAAGACACAGCTAAAAATCATAATTCACGTTTTAAAGGTTACAGAGAGGTTCACTTCAACCAGACAAGGGTAATTTGCGTGTTCATTGTCTGTATTTTGATGTATCAGTTATTATTTACATTTTGGTAGGGGTAGGGATGTATTAATATCAATAAGAACACCGGATTATATATCTTAAAAAACACATACACAAATTTATATATACTTACACACATATTACACACACAAAAATATACACACACACATTTATATACATATATATATATATATATATATATATATATAATTATTTAGTTAAAATATGATTCCAATATTACATAAGAATTCTCATGTTTGAAAAACAAGTTATGAAAATATTTCAATATAATTATTTAAATTAAATTGATTATTTTTAAGTTTACAAAAAAAGAAAATTTTTTTTGAACCCAAAAAAATATTTGAAGATATATCTAATAATATATTTTTTATATTTTTAAAAAAAATATGAAAAAAATACTAAAGAATTTTTGGATTATTTTTAACGAGTTCTTTTTCCAATTTTCTATATTTATACACACACACACACACACACACACACACACATATACATATATATATATATATATATATATATATATATATATATATATATATATATATATATATATATATATATATATATATATATATATGATTATATAATCTAGGCATATCCAGGGTTGGTATAATTTGTTCGTCTCATCCTAATTTTTTTGTTCTTTTTTTTTCAGTAGATAAATTATACAAAACTATCCAAATGTATATTTTTCCGAACGCTTTTTTATATATATTTTTAAAAGGATGAAATATATTAGCTGTTAAATGAATATATTTTTATATGTATAATTTATATTATATTGGCTATACGACAACATATTTCTTTTATATAATGTCTGACCATAGGTCAATTAGATCTCATTTAAGTATTCATGGAGACCTATCGATACTGTCTATTCAAATTTTTAAATTTTGTTATTAAACAAGAATAATAATATATTCCATGTAAAATTTAAATTAAAAAATTTATAAATATTTAAAATGAAAAATAAACAAAAAACAACACTCAATAATATTTATCTATAAAAGGCAGGATGTTATTTGTAAGGAATGGTTTTTGAAAATTTTAACTTTTTTTGACACCAAAATTTACATGCACATTTTTCAAGTTAGCATCAATATCATAAGACCGACTTTATATTTCTAAAACTTTCAATCGAAAGTGGAAAAAATCGATAAACCGAAAATTTTACGATTATTTTCATGTAGTTTGCGGCCATTTTCTACTGGCCAGAATGAGAGCCAATACCTGGCTTAAAGAATAGGCAGGAAGATTCTATTGGCCACAAGAGAAAACAAAAAAAAAAATTCGAATGTTAACTAGCATGCTAGCATGAAAAAAAAATAACAGATGCATTCGTCACAATTGGGAAAAATTTAAATCTGCATGGCACTTTTTTACCAATTGACTCATTCGCTTGCTTAAACTCAACGTTGATTCTGATTCCGCAGAACTGGGTTATTTGTAAATATATTTGTTATTTAACATTCTTTTTTTCATTCGGTTTTTCCAGTTACGAGTTTTTTTTAAAGCTGATCGTTTTGTTTTCATTTTGTTTAGTTCTTTTTTCGTAACAGATTTAATGTTTATTATAGAGCTTAGAAAAAATTCGCAGTGTGAGATAGGCAAGAAGTAAGACATGTAGCAACATCAGCAAGGCAAAAGGCACTCCTTTAAAAGGCAAGGAAGGGCAAAAATATTTTAAGTCAAGTGATAGCGATTGCTGTATGATTCGTATTTTTTTTTGAATCAAAATACGGGCAGGCCCGGGCCATCTATTGAAGTCATATATATAAAGGATCAATATGTTGATGAGTTTTGAAAATGAAACATTCTATAATACTAAATACATACAAAAATCTATTTCCAGTTAACGGTTAATATGTTTCATATTAATTTTTTATATGATTTTATAATTTTTTTTCGTTTCAGTAATTAGATTATACAAAACCAGTCTAAATGTCATATTTTTCCGAACGCTTTTATTTAATTTATATACATTTAGCCATTTTCAAGAGAATTTTATTGAGGTCAAGGAATTGTAAATATAACTAAAATATTCTAAATATTTTTTGAAATGAAAAAAGTAATTCCAATTCGTTTTGAAAAGACAGCAAATATTTTGCTTATTGGAAATATTAAATTTAATCTATTTGCATATATATATATATATATATATATATATATATATTCAAATAAAAATGGTCAAAAGAAATCCGTATCTTATGTATTCACCATTGTGTGTGTTTTCTTTCTGCAATATATAATGTATATACACGAAAAATTGTGTGTTTTTCATAATAAAATGTTTCTCTCTCTCTCTCTCTCTCTCTCTATATATATATATATATATATATATATATATATATAATTTTGTTTTTAATATTTGTATTTTGTCGAATATTATAAATATTATTTTAGATGGCAGTAAAAATAAAAAAATTTTGAAATACATAATTATAACATATATATATATATATTTATATTTTATATATATATAAATATATATATATATATATATATATATATATATATATATATATATATATATATATATATGTGTATAAATAAATGTATATAAATATAAATAAATATATATATGTATAATTATTTATATATATATATGCGCGGTACTTATTAGAAAGCGCTCAATATCAGAGATAGAGCTAATATATTTGGTTGGATAGATGTGAGTTTGTGACCCTGGGTTTCACGCTTTAGCGATCGTCAGACAAACTGATTAATGTTTTAAAAATTTTGGGTTTATGTAGATTGCGTGTATTGGTGTTATTGTGGAAGTGGTGGGGAAATTTCGTCGTTTTGTCATTCATCGTACTAACGCAAACATCGATGTATGCAGACACATATATACTTGGTCGTCCGTCGGGACTCATACATATATAAACGTATGTGGGCAGTTTCGGATATGACACATGTATGTATACGGGTGGTGTTATATCTATACATACGCATTTGTATGTTGAAATGTTGAAATTTAAACATTGGAAGTGTGGCGGAAATGTCTCGTTAATGTCTCGTGAATGTATCCATGTCATATTATGTATTTTTCCGCTGAAAAATATTTCCTCGCATGCATGTATATACGTGTGGTGGGGTTTGTGTAAAATTATGATAGGTAAAAATTATTATTATAATTATTTTTATTTTTTTAAATTTTAAAAAAAAAAATGGGGGTTTATTTGTTATATTTAAAGCTGGTTATTTGTTTGTTTTTGGTGACTGTGTATATGTAACAGGTAGAAATTTGTAATCCTTATTGTTTAATTTATATGGTGATGTTTAATTTAATAACGGGTTTATATGATATGATGTGATAGTAATGTTTCAAAGGATTGGAGACAATTTATTTTAATTTTAATAATAATAGTTATTGTAAATTGAAGAAAATAAAATTGGTAAATATAAATGATTATAGACCAAGACCAGTGAGAGCGAAACTCATCATCCGACATGTCGAGATATTCAGCTTAATAAAATCCTTTTAACCCCCTAAATTATTAAACGATAGAAGTCCTTTTTAGGCCGAAAAGGTCACTGGACCAAGGGACAGCAAACAAGGCCGACCGACACTCGCGAAAGAAAACCGATTGAATATATGGGGTTTACGACGGCG